TCCTCTGCTCCCCCCACTTCGAACTATGGACTCCCCATCAACAATAACAACCCATCTACCATCAGGTTTGCCCTTTTAAATGTACGCTCCCTTTTAAATAAGACTTTTACTGTTAATGATTTGATTTTAGAACACGAGCTGGATGGTATGTTTTTAACTGAGACCTGGCTGGGTCCGGATGCTCCGGCTGTTCTTACAGAGGCCTCCCCCCCCAATTTTAACTTTGCTTTTAAAACAAGAGAAGGAAAGAGAGGTGGCGGCACAGCCTCAATATGCAGTAACACCCTGGCCACCAAACCTATTGTTTTTAACCAATACTCAAGTTTTGAGTATCACTCTCTTGTTTTTAGCAACCCCAAAATTTTAACAGTAATTATTTATAGGCCACCTAAAAAGTGCAGCCTTTTTATTATTGAATTCTCAGCGTTTTTATCACAGTTACACAATTCTTACAATATGATAATTTTAACCGGTGATTTTAACATACACATTGACAATCCCTCTGACAATTTTACCCTAGATTTCTTAGATGTTCTTAATTACATGGATTTTACCCAACACGTCAGACAGCCAACACACAACAGGGGACGCACCCTCGACCTGGTCATTACCTATGGCCTGACTGCGGATGTGTCCTCTGTTGTCGACTTGGCTGTCTCGGACCACTACTGTGTGTTTTTTAACATCACTGGTTTTATACAGCGTGAGACCTCTGTGAGAACCGTGAGGAAGCGACATCTAACCCCTGAAGTGGCTGCAAATTTTATCGACATCCTAAACAACACTCCCCACTTGGTTTTACCTGCCCCCTGTGATTTTATAGCAAATGATTTTAACAGTAGACTTAGTTCTGCGTTGGATCAGGTGGCTCCTTTAAAAACAAAAATCATAAAAACAAAATCTGCACCCCCATGGAGAAATGAAGAAGTACGCAAAATGAAACAAGAGTGCAGGGTGGCAGAACGAAGATGGAGGAAAAATAAAACAACAATCAACTACGAAATATATAAAAACAATCAAAAAGCATACAATTACACAATTAGAAATCATAAGAACAAATACTTTGCAAATCTAATCAGCCAGAACAAAAATAATCCAAAAATCCTTTTTTCAACCATCGACACCATTTTAAACCCTGATTTTAGCATGTCTCGTTTAACCCCCACAGACTCCCTCTGTGAGGATTTTGCAGTCCACTTCACGGGGAAGATAAATACAATCAGATGTAACATTTTATCCAACCGCACTACTGTTTTTAACACATCTGATTGTTTGTCTTCGCCAGAGGAAACACTGGACAGTTTTGTCCTGGTTGATGCTGAGATGCTTGATAAAGTTTTCTCCTCAGTGAGGCCCACCACATGTCTTTTAGATCCAGTCCCCACTCCATTTTTTAAGTCATTTTATGAATCTTTTAGAGAGGAGCTTTTAAACCTGATGAATTGCTCTCTTCAGACTGGGGTCTTTCCTGCAGCCTTCAAAGCGGCTGTGGTGAGACCCCTTCTGAAGAAGAGCAATTTAGATTTTAATGATTTTAACAACTACAGACCGGTATCCAACTTACCATTTTTAAGCAAAATTTTAGAAAAACTTGTTTTTACCCAGCTCAATGCCTTTTTAGATCAGCAGCAAATTTTAGAGAAATTTCAATCAGGTTTTAGGGTGAACCACAGCACAGAGACTGCTCTTTTAAAGATTTTAAACGATCTTAGACTAAGTTATGATTTCAAAAAGGTGACTGTGTTGGTTCTACTGGATCTTAGCGCTGCCTTTGATACAGTAGACCACACAATTCTTTTATCACGCCTACAACACCTCGGCCTCTCTGGTGCTGTCCACAAATGGTTCACTTCTTATTTAACAGACAGATCCTTCATGGTAAGTTTGGATACCTGCTCCTCTCAGGTCCATAAAATCACATGTGGTGTGCCCCAGGGTTCCATTTTAGGTCCAGTCCTTTTTAACCTGTACATGCTCCCTCTTGGCGGTGTCGTCAGGAGACATGGAATTAACTTCCACAGTTATGCAGATGATACTCAGCTGTACATCTCCATGTCTCCTGATGACACCAGGCCAATGGATGCTCTTTTTAACTGCATTTTAGACCTGAAATCCTGGATGGCAGAAAACTTTCTCCAGCTTAACCAGGACAAAACTGAGGTTTTAGTCATCGGTCCTGAGGCCCAGAGAGAGAAACTTTTATCAAAACTCCAATCACACTCTTTTAATCCATCATCACAAGTGAAAAATCTGGGCGTAATCTTTGACTCTGAGCTGACTTTTATTCCTCACATCAAGAGTATCACAAAAATAGGTTTTTATCATCTAAAGAACATCGCCAGAGTCCGCCCCATTCTCTCTCGGGGCAACACGGAGACGCTGATGCATGCTTTTATCACCAGTCGCATTGACTATTTGTAATGCCCTGCTCTCTGGTCTTCCCAAAAAGAACATTGCAAGTCTTCAATTACTCCAAAACTCGGCCGCACGTGTCCTGACTAAGACCAGGGGGCGGGACCACATTACACCGGTTTTAAAATCGCTGCATTGGCTCCCCGTGTGTTTCAGAATCGATTTTAAGGTTCTTTTAATGGTTTTTAAATGTCTTAATGGTCTTGGGCCTTCTTATCTTTCAGATTTGCTTTTATCCTATGAACCTTCCCGGCCCCTGCGCTCCTCCGGCAGCAGACTCCTAACCATTCCCAAAGTCAGGACACACACTCACGGCGAGGCATCTTTCCAGCACTACGGCCCCCGTCTCTGGAACAGTCTGCCGGAGGAGCTCAGGGCCGCAGAGAACGTTCATATTTTTAAAAGTAGGCTCAAGACGCACCTTTTTAGAGTAGCTTTTGATTAGTTTTTATTATTCCATTCTATTTATCTTTTATTATTTATTATTTATTATATTGCTATTGCTATTATTCATGTATTGTGTGTTCCTTTTAGTCTCACATTTTAGTGTTTTACTTATTGTATTGTTTTTAGTGTACCCAGTGTTTCCTCTGGAGGAGCCCTCTGCACCGGGAGCAGTGGTCGGTGTGGCTGCGGGGGTCGGACTCTTGGGCCCCCAGCCTGGGGCCTCGGTTTCATGTCTCCTCTGGGTCCTGTGTCGTCCCCTGTGGCTACGGGCGGCTCTCTGCTCCTGGTGCAGACGGCTCCTTGGATGACGCTTTTTCAGCTGGTTGCATCTGAACCCTGCCAAGTCTCTCATCATGTTTTTATTGTTTTACTGGTGTGTGTGTGTGTGTGTGTGTGTGTGTGTGTGTGTGTGTGTGTGTGTATGAGTGTTCATGAGCGCGTGTGTGTGTGTTTGTCTGTGGTTTGGGGGGGGTCTGTTGGGTGGTCTGGGGGAGGGGTCTTGGGCCGGCGGGATTGTTTTTAACCAATCTGTAAAGCACTTTGTGTTGCATCTTATGTATGAAAAGCGCTTTATAAATAAAATTTGATTGATTGATTGATACATGTTTGTTTGGTCATACATGTTTGTTTGGATCATACATGTTCGTTTAGGTCATAGATGTTTGTTTGGGTAATACATGTTAGTTTAGGTCATACATGTTTGTTTGGGTCATACATTTTAGTTTCGGTCATACATGTTTGTTTGGGTCATACATGTTTCTTTGGGTCATACATGTTTGTTTGGGTCGTACATGTTTGTTTGGGTCATACATGTTTGTTTGGGCCATACATGTTTGTTTGGGTCATACATGTTTGTTTGGGTCATACATGTTTGTTTGGGTCATACATGTTCATTTGGGTCATACATGTTTGTTTGGGTCATACATGTTTGTTTAGGTCATACATGTCTGTTTGGGTCATACATGTTAGTTTAGGTCATACATGTTTGTTTAGGTCATACATGTTTGTTTAGGTCATACATGTTCATTTAGGTCATCCATGTTCATTTAGGTCAAACATGTTTGTTTGGGTCATAGATGTTTGTTTAGGTCATACATGTTTGTTTGGGTCATACATGTTAGTTTAGGTCATACATGTTTGTTTAGGTCATACATGTTTGTTTGGGTCATACATGTTTGTTTGGTCATACATGTTTGTTTGGATCATACATGTTTGTTTAGGTCATACATGTCTGTTTGGGTCATACATGTTAGTTTAGGTCATACATGTTGGTTTGGATCATACATGTTCGTTTGGGTCATACATGTTTGTTTAGGTCATACATGTTTGTTTGGGTCATACATGTTTGTTTCGTCATACATGTTTGTTTGGGTCATACATGTTTGTTTAGGTCATACATGTCTGTTTGGGTCATACATGTTAGTTTAGGTCATACATGTTTGTTTAGGTCATACATGTTTGTTTAGGTCATACATGTTCATTTAGGTCATACATGTTCATTTAGGTCAAACATGTTTGTTTGGGTCATAGATGTTTGTTTAGGTCATACATGTTTGTTTGGATCATACATGTTCGTTTGGGTCATACATGTTTGTTTAGGTCATACATGTTAGTTTAAGTCATACATGTTTGTTTGGATCATACATGTTTGTTTGGGTCATACATGTTAGATTAGGTCATACATGTTTGTTTGGTCATACATGTTTTTTTGGATCATACATGTTTGTTTAGGTCATAGATGTTTGTTTGGGTCATACATGTTTGTTTAGGTCATACATGTTTGTTTGGGCCTTACACGTTTGTTTGGGTCATACATGTTCGTTTGGGTCATACATGTTTGTTTAGGTCATACATGTTTGTTTAGGTCATACATGTTCGTTTCGGTCATACATGTTTGTTTGGGTCATACATGTTCGTTTGGGTCATACATGTTTGTTTAGGTCATACATGTTTGTTTAGGTCATACATGTTCGTTTCGGTCATACATGTTTGTTTGGGTCATACATGTTCGTTTGGGTCATACATGTTTGTTTAGGTCATACATGTTTGTTTAGGTCATACATGTCTGTTTGGGTCATACATGTTTGTTTGGGTCATACATGTTAGTTTAGGTCATACATGTTTAAGTCAGCAGTTCTCACCTGAAAGGCACCGGCGTCTGGCACAGCCCTGGTTTCTTCTTGGCTCGTTTCTTCTTGAGTTTCTGGAGCCTGGCATTGTCTTTTCCTGGTTTAGGGAGAAGTGGGGGTGGAGCCAGGTCCAAGTCCTGGTCTACAGGGTCCAGAAGGTCCACGTCCATGAGTGAGTCCATCCAGGTCCTGCAAGAGTCGAGAGCATGAGGACTATGAACCAGTCCCAAACCAGCTCAAACTGGTTTTATTATGAACAGACCGAGAGGAATCAGGATTTGTTTCGAGTCAAACCCTCTCCTAGTGCTATAGGGTTAGAATCTCTGATCTGGATCTCAGTCTGGACCAGGACCAGGTCTAAGTTTGGAAGTAACTGGATCCAGACCCAGACCAGCGGCTCATGTCGGCACTAACCACTCTGACTACAGTGAGCTCTACTGCGACATGTGACATCAACTGACAGTAATGTATTAGTAACTGTAAATCCAGCTGAAGATGAAGGCAGGTCTACAGCAGCTCCCTAGGACCCCCTCAGACCCAGGATTGAGGCTGTAGACCAAGGACTGAGGCTGTAGACCAAGGACTGAGGCTGTAGACCCAGGACTGAGGCTGTAGACCCAGGACTGAGGCTGTAGACCCAGGACTGAGGCTGTAGACCCAGGATTGAGGCTGTAGACCAAGGACTGAGGCTGTAGACCCAGGACTGAGGCTGTAGACCCAGGACTGAGGCTGTAGACCCAGGATTGAGGCTGTAGACCAAGGACTGAGGCTGTAGACCCAGGACTGAGGCTGTAGACCCAGGACTGAGGCTGTAGACTTCTCACTCCTCCGCCCATAACCAGAGCACTCCGGTCCACAGACACCAACCTCCTCTCCATCCCCAGAACTAAACTCCGGACAATGGGTGACAGGGCTTTCCAGGCGGCTGCTCCCAAACTGTGGAACGCCCTCCCACCACACCTGAGGGCCCCACAGTCATTGGAGACCTTCAAAAGAGGACTTAAAACTTTTCTGTTCCCTTCTTAACATTGTTTTAACATTGTTTCAACTTTAATGATGTGTGCTTTTATTGTTGTTGCTCTGTAGCACTTTGAGATTTGTATGTAAAGTGTATTACAAATTAAAGGTATTATTGATTGACTGCGGAACCTTCCGCAGTCAACCATTGGTTTTGTATTTCTTTATTCCGTCATTTTTTTTGACACGTTTCACAGCTTTCACATTTTCAACAATTTCCACAAGTTATACATCAAAACGTTCCACATGTTTGGGAGATTATTGCTATTACTTTTGGGACTTCAGCGATTTCCGGTTTTTTCCGCAATCGGACAAAAATCTGCATTGAGAATTCTGCAATGCATTTTAATAGGCCCATGCATTTTAATAGGACTTCAGCTCTTTCAGACATTTCTACAGTTTCAATGATTCAACAGTTTCAAGGATTCAACAGTTTCAAGGATTTCAGCAGTTTCAAGATTTCAAGAGTTTCAAGGACTTCAACAGTTTCAAGGACTTCAGCAGTTTCAAGGACTTCAGCAGTTTCAAGGACTTCAGCAGTTTCAAGGACTTCAGTGTAATTATGCAACCTAATAGGGATTTTTCCATGTAAACCAGTATAATGCAACTTAATAGGGATTTTTCCATGTAAACCAGTATAATGCAACTTAATAGGGTTTTTTTTCATGTAAACCAGTATAATGCAACTTAATAGGGTTTTTTTTCATGTAAACCAGCAATTATAATGCAACTTAATGGGGATTTTTCCATGTAAACCAGTATAATGCAACTTAATAGGGGTTTTTACATGTAAACCAGTATAATGCAACTTAATAGGGTTTTTCCATGTAAACCAGTATAATGCAACTTAATAGGGTTTTTTTTCATGTAAACCAGTATAATGCAACTTAATGGGGATTTTTCCATGTAAACCAGCAACTATAGGGTTTTTACATGCAACTTAATAGGGTTTTTTCCATGTAAACCAGTATAATGCAACTTAATAGGGATTTTTCCATGTAAACCAGTACAATGCAACTTAATAGGGATTTTTCCATGTAAACCAGTATAATGCAACTTAATGGGGATTTTTCCATGTAAACCAGTATAATGCAACTTAATGGGGATTTTTCCATGTAAACCAGTATTATGCAACTTAATAGGGATTTTTCCATGTAAACCAGTATAATGCAACTTAATAGGGATTTTTCCATGTAAACCAGTATAATGCAACTTAATGGGGATTTTTCCATGTAAACCAGTATAATGCAACTTAATAGGGGTTTTTAAACCATGTAAACCAGTATAATGCAACTTAATAGGGTTTTTTCCATGTAAACCAGTATAATGCAACTTAATAGGGTTTTTTCCATGTAAACCAGTAAATGCAACTTAATGGGATTTTTCCATGTAAACCAGTATATGCAACTTAATAGGGATTTTTCCATGTAAACCAGTATAATGCAACTTAATAGGGATTTTTTCATGTAAACCAGTATAATGCAACTTAATAGGGATTTTTCCATGTAAACCAGTATAATGCAACTTAATAGGGTTTTTTACATGTAAACCAGTATAATGCAACTTAATGGGGATTTTTCCATGTAAACCAGTATATGCAACTTAAGGGTAGGGATTTTTCCATGTAAACCAGTATAATGCAACTTAATAGGGATTTTTCCAATGTAAACCAGTATAATGCAACTTAATAGGGATTTTTCCATGTAAACCAGTATAATGCAACTTAATGGGGATTTTTCCATGTAAACCAGTATTATGCAACTTAATAGGGATTTTTCCATGTAAACCAGTATAATGCAACTTAATAGGGATTTTTCCATGTAAACCAGTATAATGCAACTTAATGGGGTTTTTACATGTAAACCAGTATAATGGAACTTTATAGGGGTTTTTACATGTAAACCAGTATAATGGAACTTAATAGGGGTTTTTACATGTAAACCAGTATAATGCAACTTAATAAGGATTTTTACATGTAAACCACTATAATGTAACCTAATAGGGGTTTTTACATGTAAACCAGTATAAAGCAACTTAATAGGGATTTGTACATGTAAACCAGTATAATGCAACCTAATAGGGATTTTTCCATGTAAACCAGTATAATGCAACTTAATAGGGATTTTTCCATGTAAACCAGTATAATGCAACTTAATAGGGATTTTTCCATGTAAACCAGTATAATGCAACCTATTAGGGATTTTTCCATGTAAACCAGTATAATGCAACCTAATAGGTTGCATTATACCACCAGACCAAGACCCAAACGAAGACTCAGACCACCACCAGATAATGACCACAGACCAGGTTTCCTTAGTTACAGGAACCAAATTGTTTCAGCGGTGAGGGGATTTTTCAGTTTCAAGGACACTTTCAATACATTCAGTAGTTTCAAGGATTTCAACTGTTTAAGAATTTAACCAGTTTCAAGGATATCAGGAGGTTCAAGGATTTCAGGAGTTTCCACACTTTCAACAGTTTCCAGGTTTAAAAAAGTTTCAAGGATTTCAGGAGTTTCAATGTTTCAACAGTTTCAAGGATTTCAGGAGTTTAAAGGTTTCAACAATTTCAAGGACTTCAGGAGTTTCAAATATCTATCAAGTATTTTAACAGTTTCAAGGCCTTTTAAAGGATTTCAAGGATTTTTTTTAGCAGATTTCCACATTAGATCTGTTCCGCAGTCAATCGCAATGGCTTCAGCCATTGCAAGTTTCTAGTTATTATTATTATTGTAGACCCAGGACTGAGGCTGTAGACCCAGGACTGAGACTGTAGACCCAGGACTGAGGCTGTAGACCCAGGACTGAGGCTGTAGACCCAGGACTGAGGCTGTAGACCCAGGACTGAGGCTGTAGACCCAGGACTGAGACTGTAGTTCTCTCTCTCTGGTCTCTCTCTCTCTCTTGTCTCTCTCGCTCTAACTGTTTCTTCTGAGAAACAAATGAAAACAAATTAGTGTGGCCTTGATAAACCCCCACGGCTCTGAGTGCTGTTATTATGGTGTAGCCCGAGGTCTGGCCCAAAGACTAGTCCGCCTCTGGACCGCCTCTGGACCGCCTCTGGACCGCCTCTGGACCGCCTCTGGACCGCCTCTGGACCGCCTCTGGACCGCCTCTGGACCGCCTCTGGACCGCCTCTGGACCGCCTCTGGACCGCCTCTGGACCGCCTCTGGACCACCCCTGGACCACCCCTGGGTCCGCCCCTGAGACCAATTATACTTTCGAGGTTCGCACTCAATTTGTTTAATGAAGCTCCTGATGTTGAGCCAAAATGTCCATCCATCCATTTTCTTCCGCTTCATCCGTTGCCGGGTCGCGGGGGCAGCAGTCTAAGCAGAGACGCCCAGACTTCCCTATCCACACACACCTCCTCCAGCTCGTCTGGGGGGACCCCAAGGCGTTCCCAGGCCAGCTGAGAGACATAGTCCCTCCAGCGTGTCCTGGGTCTTCCCCGGGGCCTCCTCCCGGTGGGACGTGCCCGGAACACCTCCCCAGGGAGGCGTCCTGAACAGATGCTTGAGCCACTTCAACTGGTTCCTCTCGACGTGGAGTAGCAGCGGCTCTACTCCGAGCTCCTCCCGTGTGACTGAGCTCCTCACCCTATCTCTAAGGGAGCAGCCACTCTGCGGAGGAAGCTCATTTCGACCGCTAGTATCCGCGATCTCGTTCTTTCGGTCATTACCCAAAGCTCATGACCATAGGTGAGGGAGGGAACGAAGATTGACCGGTAAATCGAGAGCTTTGCCTTTCGGCTCAGCTCCCTCTTCACCACAACGGTCCGATACAGCTCTGACTGCAGACGCTGCTCCCTCTTTACCACGACGGTCCGATACAGCTCTGACTGCAGACGCTGCTCCCTCTTTACCACGACGGTCCGATACAGCTCTGACTGCAGACGCTGCTCCCTCTTTACCACAACGGTCCGATACAGCGACCGCATCACTGCGCACGCTGCATCGATCCGCCTGTCAATCTCACGCTCCATCCTCCCCTCACTCGTGAACAAGACCCCGAGATACTTGAACTCCTCCACTTGAGGAAGGACCTCTCCACCCACCTGGAGAGGGCAAGGCACCTTTTTCCGGTCGAGCACCATGGCCTCAGATTTGGAGCTGATTCTCATCCCAGCCGCTTCACACTCGGCTGCAAACCGCCCCAGTGCATGTTGCAGGTCCTGGTTTGTTGGAGTCAACAGGACAACATCGTCCGCAAACAGCAGAGATGTTATCCTGTGGTCTCCGAACCGGACCCCCTCCGACCCCTGGCTGCGCCAAGATATTCTGTCCATAAATACAGTGAACAGAACCGGTGACAAAGGGCCGATGGAGAGTGTAGAGCTGGGATGTCGTGGTCCTCTGTGGAACGCTGGGATGTCGTGGTCCTCTGTGGAACGCTGGGATGTCGTGGTCCTCTGTGGAACGCTGGGATGTCGTGGTCCTCTGTGGAACGCTGGGATGTCGTGGTCCTCTGTGGAACGCTGGGATGTCGTGGTCCTCTGTGGAACGCTGGGATGTCGTGGTCCTCTGAGGAACGCTGGGATGTCGTGGTCCTCTGTGGAACGCTGGGATGTCGTGGTCCTCTGTGGAACGCTGGGATGTCGTGGTCCTCTGTGGAACGCTGGGATGTCGTGGTCCTCTGTGGAACGCTGGGATGTCGTGGTCCTCTGTGGAACGCTGGGATGTCGTGGTCCTCTGTGGAACGCTGGGATGTCGTGGTCCTCTGTGGAACGCTGGGATGTCGTGGTCCTCTGAGGAACGCTGGGATGTCGTGGTCCTCTGTGGAACGCTGGGATGTCGTGGTCCTCTGTGGAACGCTGGGATGTCGTGGTCCTCTGTGGAACGCTGGGATGTCGTGGTCCTCTGTGGAACGCTGGGATGTCGTGGTCCTCTGTGGAACGCTGGGATGTCGTGGTCCTCTGTGGAACGCTGGGATGTCGTGGTCCTCTGTGGAACGCTGGGATGTCGTGGTCCTCTGTGGAACGCTGGGATGTCGTGGTCCTCTGAGGAACGCTGGGATGTCGTGGTCCTCTGTGGAACGCTGGGATGTCGTGGTCCTCTGTGGAACGCTGGGATGTCGTGGTCCTCTGAGGAACGCTGGGATGTCGTGGTCCTCTGTGGAACGCTGGGATGTCGTGGTCCTCTGAGGAACGCTGGGATGTCGTGGTCCTCTGTGGAACGCTGGGATGTCGTGGTCCTCTGAGGAACGCTCGGATGTCGTGGTCCTCTGTGGAACGCTGGGATGTCGTGGTCCTCTGTGGAACGCTGGGATGTCGTGGTCCTCTGTGGAACGCTGGGATGTCGTGGTCCTCTGAGGAACGCTGGGATGTCGTGGTCCTCTGTGGAACGCTGGGATGTCGTGGTCCTCTGAGGAACGCTGGGATGTCGTGGTCCTCTGTGGAACGCTGGGATGTCGTGGTCCTCTGTGGAACGCTGGGATGTCGTGGTCCTCTGTGGAACGCTGGGATGTCGTGGTCCTCTGTGGAACGCTGGGATGTCGTGGTCCTCTGAGGAACGCTGGGATGTCGTGGTCCTCTGTGGAACGCTGGGATGTCGTGGTCCTCTGTGGAACGCTGGGATGTCGTGGTCCTCTGTGGAACGCTGGGATGTCGTGGTCCTCTGTGGAACGCTGGGATGTCGTGGTCCTCTGTGGAACGCTGGGATGTCGTGGTCCTCTGTGGAACGCTGGGATGTCGTGGTCCTCTGTGGAACGCTGGGATGTCGTGGTCCTCTGTGGAACGCTGGGATGTCGTGGTCCTCTGAGGAACGCTGGGATGTCGTGGTCCTCTGTGGAACGCTGGGATGTCGTGGTCCTCTGTGGAACGCTGGGATGTCGTGGTCCTCTGTGGAACGCTGGGATGTCGTGGTCCTCTGTGGAACGCTGGGATGTCGTGGTCCTCTGTGGAACGCTGGGATGTCGTGGTCCTCTGTGGAACGCTGGGATGTCGTGGTCCTCTGTGGAACGCTGGGATGTCGTGGTCCTCTGTGGAACGCTGGGATGTCGTGGTCCTCTGAGGAACGCTGGGATGTCGTGGTCCTCTGTGGAACGCTGGGATGTCGTGGTCCTCTGAGGAACGCTGGGATGTCGTGTCCTCTGTGGAACGCTGGGATGTCGTGGTCCTCTGTGGAACGCTGGGATGTCGTGGTCCTCTGTGGAACGCTGGGATGTCGTGGTCCTCTGTGGAACGCTGGGATGTCGTGGTCCTCTGTGGAACGCTGGGATGTCGTGGTCCTCTGTGGAACGCTGGGATGTCGTGGTCCTCTGTGGAACGCTGGGATGTCGTGGTCCTCTGAGGAACGCTGGGATGTCGTGGTCCTCTGTGGAACGCTGGGATGTCGTGGTCCTCTGTGGAACGCTGGGATGTCGTGGTCCTCTGAGGAACGCTGGGATGTCGTGGTCCTCTGTGGAACGCTGGGATGTCGTGGTCCTCTGAGGAACGCTGGGATGTCGTGGTCCTCTGTGGAACGCTGGGATGTCGTGGTCCTCTGAGGAACGCTCGGATGTCGTGGTCCTCTGTGGAACGCTGGGATGTCGTGGTCCTCTGTGGAACGCTGGGATGTCGTGGTCCTCTGTGGAACGCTGGGATGTTCGTGGTCCTCTGTGGAACGCTGGGATGTCGTGGTCCTCTGTGGAACGCTGGGATGTCGTGGTCCTCTGTGGAACGCTGGGATGTCGTGGTCCTCTGAGGAACGCTGGGATGTCGTGGTCCTCTGTGGAACGCTGGGATGTCGTGGTCCTCTGTGGAACGCTGGGATGTCGTGGTCCTCTGTGGAACGCTGGGATGTCGTGGTCCTCTGTGGAACGCTGGGATGTCGTGGTCCTCTGAGGAACGCTGGGATGTCGTGGTCCTCTGTGGAACGCTGGGATGTCGTGGTCCTCTGTGGAACGCTGGGATGTCGTGGTCCTCTGTGGAACGCTGGGATGTCGTGGTCCTCTGTGGAACGCTGGGATGTCGTGGTCCTCTGTGGAACGCTGGGATGTCGTGGTCCTCTGTGGAACGCTGGGATGTCGTGGTCCTCTGTGGAACGCTGGGATGTCGTGGTCCTCTGTGGAACGCTGGGATGTCGTGGTCCTCTGAGGAACGCTGGGATGTCGTGGTCCTCTGTGGAACGCTGGGATGTCGTGGTCCTCTGAGGAACGCTGGGATGTCGTGGTCCTCTGTGGAACGCTGGGATGTCGTGGTCCTCTGTGGAACGCTGGGATGTCGTGGTCCTCTGTGGAACGCTGGGATGTCGTGGTCCTCTGTGGAACGCTGGGATGTCGTGGTCCTCTGTGGAACGCTGGGATGTCGTGGTCCTCTGAGGAACGCTGGGATGTCGTGGTCCTCTGGGAACGCTGGATGTCGTGGTCCTCTGTGGAACGCTGGGATGTCGTGGTCCTCTGTGGAACGCTGGGATGTCGTGGTCCTCTGTGGAACGCTGGGATGTCGTGGTCCTCTGTGGAACGCTGGGATGTCGTGGTCCTCTGTGGAACGCTGGGATGTCGTGGTCCTCTGTGGAACGCTGGGATGTCGTGGTCCTCTGTGGAACGCTGGGATGTCGTGGTCCTCTGTGGAACGCTGGGATGTCGTGGTCCTCTGTGGAACGCTGGGATGTCGTGGTCCTCTGTGGAACGCTGGGATGTCGTGGTCCTCTGTGGAACGCTGGGATGTCGTGGTCCTCTGTGGAACGCTGGGATGTCGTGGTCCTCTGAGGAACGCTGGGATGTCGTGGTCCTCTGTGGAACGCTGGGATGTCGTGGTCCTCTGAGGAACGCTGGGATGTCGTGGTCCTCTGTGGAACGCTGGGATGTCGTGGTCCTCTGTGGAACGCTGGGATGTCGTGGTCCTCTGTGGAACGCTGGGATGTCGTGGTCCTCTGTGGAACGCTGGGATGTCGTGGTCCTCTGAGGAACGCTGGGATGTCGTGGTCCTCTGTGGAACGCTGGGATGTCGTGGTCCTCTGTGGAACGCTGGGATGTCGTGGTCCTCTGTGGAACGCTGGGATGTCGTGGTCCTCTGTGGAACGCTGGGATGTCGTGGTCCTCTGTGGAACGCTGGGATGTCGTGGTCCTCTGTGGAACGCTGGGATGTCGTGGTCCTCTGTGGAACGCTGGGATGTCGTGGTCCTCTGTGGAACGCTGGGATGTCGTGGTCCTCTGAGGAACGCTGGGATGTCGTGGTCCTCTGAGGAACGCTGGGATGTCGTGGTCCTCTGTGGAACGCTGGGATGTCGTGGTCCTCTGTGGAACGCTGGGATGTCGTGGTCCTCTGAGGAACGCTGGGATGTCGTGGTCCTCTGAGGAACGCTGGGATGTCGTGGTCCTCTGTGGAACGCTGGGATGTCGTGGTCCTCTGTGGAACGCTGGGATGTCGTGGTCCTCTGTGGAACGCTGGGATGTCGTGGTCCTCTGTGGAACGCTGGGATGTCGTGGTCCTCTGTGGAACGCTGGGATGTCGTGGTCCTCTGTGGAACGCTGGGATGTCGTGGTCCTCTGTGGAACGCTGGGATGTCGTGGTCCTCTGTGGAACGCTGGGATGTCGTGGTCCTCTGTGGAACGCTGGGATGTCGTGGTCCTCTGAGGAACGCTGGGATGTCGTGGTCCTCTGTGGAACGCTGGGATGTCGTGGTCCTCTGTGGAACGCTGGGATGTCGTGGTCCTCTGAGGAACGCTGGGATGTCGTGGTCCTCTGTGGAACGCTGGGATGTCGTGGTCCTCTGTGGAACGCTGGGATGTCGTGGTCCTCTGAGGAACGCTGGGATGTCGTGGTCCTCTGTGGAACGCTGGGATGTCGTGGTCCTTGACTGTTTTTCAACGCAATTTACAAAAAAAGCGACGTGCCAGGTCCATAACCTTCCCTCCACACTGCCTCCATGAGCCCCCGGTCCAGTCCCACCAGACCCCACCAGACCCCGCCCCCTTCAGCCCCTCCCTCTCCTGGTTGGTTGGGGCTCCATGGTTGGCTGCTCACGGAGACTCGGGCCCAAGTTCTCACGGGTCTTGGAGATCCGGGGATACAGCGGCCACCGTCGGCTGTTTTGCATGTTCTGCTTGTGTCGACGAGGTCCAAGGAGCGGGTTTTACAGAAGAGAGATTAGAGATGGGTGAGATGGAACTAATGCAGGTAAAGATGGAGGGGGAGGCAACGGGGGGGGGAGACAACAGCGGGGGAGGGGAGGGGTGGAAATATAAGAGAGAGAGAGGCTGGAGAGAGACCAGAGAGACACCAGAGAAAGAGAGACCAGAGAGAGAGATATCAATGAAAGACTAGAGTGAGAGGCTGGAGAGAGAGAGACACCAGAGAGAGAGAGGCTGGAGATACAGAGAGAGAGGGGGAGGCCGTAGAGAGAGATCTGAGAGAGACCCAAGAGAGAGGGGGAGACCAGAGGGAGACCAGAGAGAGAGACCCCAGAGAGAGGGGGAGACCAGAGGGAGACCAGAGAAAGAGATCAAAAAGAGAAATGAGATTTTTTAAAGTAGTCCAAAGTATATTTGGTGCTCGCAGCTGCAGACGTCACATGACTTTCTCTCTGCGTCTGTATCTGAGCAGTAAACAACTTTTATTAGTCTCCAGCTTTGATTGTACTGCTCCACATGAGGACCAGAGAGAAACCAGGGAGAGACCAGGGTGAGACCAGAGAGAGACCAGAGAGAGACCAGAGAGAAACCAGGGAGAGACCAGGGAGAGACCAGAGAGAGACCAGGGAGAGACCAGAGAGAGACCACAGAGGGACCTGAGAGAGACCAGAGAGAGACCAGAGAGAGACCAGGGAGAGACCAGGGAGAGACCAGGGTGAGCCCAGAGAGAGACCAGAGAGAGACCAGGGAGAGACCAGGGAGAGACCAGGGAGAGACCACAGAGAGACCTGAGAGAGACCAGAGAGAGACCAGAGAGACACCAGAGAGAGAGAGCAAAGAGAGACCAGATAGAGACCAGAGAGAGAGACCTGAGAGAGACCTGAGAGAGACCTGAGAGAGACCAGAGAGACACCAGAGACAGACCAGAGAGAAACCATATCTGGCAACCTGAGTCAGGGAGAGTGGGAGAGGCTGCAGTACCACTTTTGGCCACAATGCCCCACACTTCTCCTTTAACTACCCCAGGTCTCAGTGAAGTCCTTGAGTGGAGGGTGTGCGGAGCTGGTCCCGGGGTCAGGGGGATGTGGGAGTGCGTACCCCCGAGAGTGTGCCCTGAGAGCGGACACTTCTGCTCCTGCCCCTGGGTCTTCATTAAGCAAACAGCGCGGGGCTTAGGGGGGCCCCATTCAGCCTCCTCATAATGAACTGGAGTGGTGCATAGAGGCTGGGGACAGAGGGGAGGGAGGGGGAGGGAGGATGAGGGGGGAGGAAGGGGGAGGAGGGGGGAGGCGAGGTGCCAAGTTCAGTCCCAGAGCGGCAGATACAGACTTTAAATACCTAAAGAAAAAAAAGACCTATTATTTTCCTTTTAAAAGATTCCATTTGGACTAAACTGGGATTAAAGGTGTCTGTGTTTGTGTTGTACCCACACAGCGGTCGTCTCGAAAGGACTTTGTAAAGTTGTTGATTCACAAACAACAGATCAGAAAATCAAACAATACACAGGAGATGGAATAATAACAAACACATATGAGCCGTTTTTTTACAGAGTGTTTCTCCAACATTATACAACCATAAAACTACTATAATAACATGACCATAACTTTCTCTGGTCTCACTCTGGTCTCACTCTGGTCTCAATCTCGTCTCTCTCTCTGGTCTCTCTCTCTGGTCTCTCTCTCTGGTCTCTCTCTCTGGTCTCTCTCTCTGGTCTCTCTCTCTGGTCTCTCTCTCTGGTCTCTCTCGTGTCTCTCTCTCTGATCTCTCTCTCTGGTCTCACTCTGGTCTCACTCTGGTCTCACTCTGGTCTCACTCTGGTCTCACTCTGGTCTCACTCTGGTCTCTCTCTGGTCTCTCTCTGGTCTCTCTCTGGTCTCTCTCTGGTCTCTCTCTGGTCTCTCTCTCTCTGGTCTCTCTCTCTGGTCTCTCTCTCTGGTCTCTCTCTCTGGTCTCTCTCTCTGGTCTCTCTCTCTGGTCTCTCTCTGGTCTCTCTCTGGTCTCTCTCTGGTCTCTCTCTCTGGTCTCTCTCTCTCTGGTCTCTCTCTCTGGTCTCTCTCTCTGGTCTCTCTCTGGTCTCTCTCTCTCTGGTCTCTCTCTCTCTGGTCTCTCTCTCTGGTCTCTCTCTCTGGTCTCTCTCTCTGGTCTCTCTCTCTGGTCTCTCTCTGGTCTCTCTCTGGTCTCTCTCTGGTCTCTCTCTCTGGTCTCTCTCTCTGGTCACTCTCTCTGGTCACTCTCTCTGGTCACTCTCTCTGGTCTCTCTCTCTGGTCTCTCTCTCTGGTCTCTCTCTCTGGTCTCTCTCTCTGGTCACTCTCTCTGGTCACTCTCTCTGGTCACTCTCTCTGGTCTCTCTCTCTGGTCTCTCTCTCTGGTCTCTCTCTCTGGTCTCTCTCTGGCCTCTCTCTGGTCTCTCTCTCTGGTCTCTCTCTCTGGTCTCTCTCTCTGGTCTCTTGTTGTTGTAAATGATATGGTGTCAGGTGTGTGCGTTCCCACTGGTGATGACATCATCAGTGTGCGTCAGTGGCGACAGGAGAAAGGACCCGTGTCACTGAAGAAGAGCAGGTGTGAGGTCACTGCGCCTGCAGCCAACCACCTGAGAAGGACGTTCACACGGAGCTACATGGTCCTGTGAGGCCAGAGGGACCAGAGAGAGACCAGAGAGAGAGAGACCAGAGAGAGAGAGACCAGAGAGAGACCAGAGAGAGACCAGAGAGAGAGACCAGAGAGAGACCAGAGAGAGAGACCAGAGAGAGACCAGAGAGAGAGACCAGAGAGAGACCAGAGAGAGAGAGACCAGAGAGAGACCAGAGAGAGACCAGAGAGAGAGACCAGAGAGAGAGACCAGAGAGAGACCAGAGAGAGGGACCAGAGAGAGACCAGAGAGAGACCAGAGAGAGACCAGAGAGAGAGAGACCAGAGAGAGAGAGACCAGAGAGAGACCAGAGAGAGACCAGAGAGAGAGACCAGAGAGAGAGACCAGAGAGAGACCAGAGAGAGAGACCAGAGACACACCAGAGAGAGGCCAGAAAGAGACCAGGGACGGACCAGGGAGAGACCAGACCATGTCATGTAATAAATACCCAGCCCACTGCGGGTGCCTTATCTCGCTGTGGGTCGAGACAGGATCTCGTTGGGAACATGGACGAGGAGCAGGTGAAGATGAGGAGCAGAGATAGGATCAGGACCCGCAGGAGAGTCCTGAGTCTGTGTGGTCTGGACTCGGATCCCTTTGATCCCAGCACAAAAACTGCACTTACAGGACGTACAAGTTAGAATCTGCTGAGCTGGAAAGCAAAGAGTCCTGGGTCTACAGCAGGGGTGCTCAATACGTCGATCGCGATCTACCGGTCGATCGCAAAGGTAGTATTGGTAGATCGCATTTAATAAATAAAAAATTACTCTCCAGAGAGAGACCAGAGAGAGACCAGAGAGAGAGACCAGAGAGAGACCAAAGAGAGACCAAGAGAGAGACCAAAGAGAGACCAGAGAGAGACCAAAGAGAGACCAGAGAGAGACCAAAGAGAGACCAGAGAGAGACCAGAGAGACCAGAGAGAGACCAAAGAGTGACCAGAGAAGGACCAGAGACAGACCATAGTTGATCTGTGCTGACTTTTGACATTATAGTTACCATAGTTACCAGGAGAGATTTTTCAGCTGCAGCACAATGTGAGACTACAGACTCTTTGGAATCAGGATGAGAGAGGTTAAAGCCAAGGACAGGTCGGACCAGGACCAGGACTAACCCTGAGAGACCAGGGGTATATACAGGCAACATACCAGAGAGACCAGAGAGAGACAAGAGAGACCAGAGAGAGACCAGGGAGAGACCAGAGAGAGACAAGAGAGACCAGAGAGAGACCAGAGAGAGACAAGAGAGACCAGAGAGAGACCAGGGAGAGACCAAAGAGAGACCAGAGAGAGACCAGAGAGACCAGAGAGAGACCAAAGAGAGACCAGAGAGAGACCAAAGAGAGACCAGAGAGAGACCAGAGAGACCAGAGAGAGACAAGAGAGACCAGAGAGAGACCTGAGAGAGACCAGAGAGAGATCAGAGAGAGACCAGAGAGAGACCAGAGAGACCAGAGAGAGACCAGGGAGAGACCAGAGAGAGACAAGAGAGACCAGAGAGAGACCAGAGAGAGACAAGAGAGACCAGAGAGAGACCAGGGAGAGACCAGAGAGAGACCAGAGAGACCAGAGAGAGACCAGAGAGACCAGAGAGAGACCAGGGAGAGACCAGAGAGAGACAAGAGAGACCAGAGAGAGACCAGAGAGAGACCAGAGAGAGACAAGAGAGACCAGAGAGAGACCAGGGAGAGACCAGAGAGAGACAAGAGAGACCAGAGAGAGACCAGAGAGACCAGAGAAAGACCAGGGAGAGACCTGAGAGAGACCAGAGAGAGATCAGAGAGAGACCAGAGAGAGACCAGAGAGACCAGAGAGAGACCAGGGAGAGACCAGAGAGAGACAAGAGAGACCAGAGAGAGACCAGAGAGAGACCAGAGAGAGACAAGAGAGACCAGAGAGAGACCAGGGAGAGACCAGAGAGAGACAAGAGAGACCAGAGAGAGACCAGAGAGACCAGAGAAAGACCAGGGAGAGACCTGAGAGAGACCAGAGAGAGACCAGAGAGAGACCAGAGAGAGACCAGTGAGAGAGAGACCAGAGAGAGAGAGAGACCAGAGAGAGACCAGAGAGAGAGACCAGAGAGAGACCAGAAAGAAAGACCAGAGAGAGACCAGTGAGAGAGAGACCAGATTTGGCCTGAGTTTGGACATATCTGGACTACACAGGACCATCTCTCAGAGGTCCAAAGATTCAAGGACATGTTTTCCGAACATGCCCTTTTTTATGCCAAGAATAAATAATAATAATATCTCTCTCTGGTCTCTCTGTGGTCTATCTCTGGTCTTTCTATCTGGTCTCTCTCTGGTCTCTCTCTGGTCTCTCTCTCTGGTCTTTCTCTG